ACCAGTGCGCCACAAATTTCCTTCAAAAAGCTGCAGTACGATGACTCCGACTTCAGAAGTTCGCACTTGCGCAGTATTTCACCAATCACATTATATCTGAAGAACTCAGAAAGTTTGGAAAGGGCGAATGAACAAGCCTGAAATATTTAAATATAACCTGTTTCAGAATCAAGTCTGGAGATGAATAAACAGAGTCAAACATGTTCAGATATGGAACTATATTAACTGTCATAAACTTAATGAAAAGAAAAGCGTTCAGACCAAAAATATTTCTTGGACTGAATGCTGCAGCGTTTCTGCTGGTTTCCTCATTATTAAACAATTGGCCTCTTGGAGCAACTGCTCAAACTGAAACGCTAATACGCTCATCGAAGACATTTGTGAAACAAAATATCATGATTGTTTTACTAAAACAATTTAACAAAATATTTATATCAGCTAAAAATATCCTACAAAAGTTCCAAAACAACGGCTACACAAAATTTGTTGTACTTTGTTACTGTCATGTTGAAAACAAGACAACACTGATACGATGGCGGAAATGTTAACGTCCTTCTTTGCAACATCGGTCAGAAGGTACCACAGATGAAGTGCGAATCCTCAATATAACAGTGTAAAAATAATGGTCGCCTATGCGCTGGTTTCTGTTTTAGAAACCGAGTTCGGCAAAAAAATCACCTCTAGGAGTTGCACTGTGCTTATTTAAAAATGGTACCTTGTGATGATGAAAGGCCAGTTAAGATGGTAAGCAAGGGTCTGTTGGAGCCCTACAGAGCGCAGCCTGTTGAAAGGCATAATATTATCTTACGGTGCAACACAATTACCTCGGCATCACATTATAACTGGTTGCAAACAATCGACTTACAACATTTCCCATAGCCGATTGCAACAGCAAGGAGCAAGGCGTATTCCTTGCGTAACAAAATCAGCAGTTTATTCATTCTCATGGCAGGCTGTTCCTTTTAAGCTGAGTGGGCAGCAGTTTCACGATGCGTCTGCAGTTTCAGCTGTGTTCTAACAAATTTTTACCAGCGCACTGAGCTGGATTTAAGGCCTAACCACGCCAAAGAATCAGCATACTTCAGCCATCTAGACTTAGGTCCCTTGGTCACCAGTCTTGGCTTTACTTGAAGAGTCTGTATTGCGTATCTCTTCTGTCATCCTCACCATAAATAAATCAATTAAACAGTTTTCTCTCCAGATGGAATAGCAACTGACGAAGAAGCGCTCTGCAAAACTTATCGAATCTCGACACCAGGAATTCTTCAAAAAATCGAACTTCTGATATGCCCATATCCAAGTCAGGCGCAGGTGGGCCATAGGGCAGTGGAATCGACAGATATTTTCAAACCGAAGTTAATTTCTCGATTTATGGTTGAAGGTACCAAAGAAAGCCATGCAAAGATGGTAAAAGCTTTTAGATGGTCAGTTCTCATACTTCTGGTATGATTTAAGTGCAGGCAGCAAAGTTGTAAGGACATCTGCCTGGCTCTCTATCTTTCATCCTAGAACCTTCCTTTATGAATCAAGAAAGTAACAAACCAACAACGCGCTTAGGACTGAGAGCATCAAATATTATTTATCGCATACATTCTTACTACAACTCAGATCATTCCCCATCCCACAGAACCGCTTAGCTTCACAATTATTGTGCTCGCTTAACCGATTAGTGCGTTTATGTCCACGTTCACTCTGCTGTCACTCGAGATGAAACTCCTAAGTACCTCAACATCAACCCTAGCTTCATGCGCATCGCGTTAAAGCGCAGACTACATAAAATAGCTTTTTCAAAGAATACAAATTGTTCAAAAAAAATTGAGTTTGCCAAACATCATCCATACTCCATCCATGCGGCTGAGAAACTGTCTAATGCACACTGGAGGTCAACATGAGAGAAAGTGAACATGGCGAAATCATTTGTGAATAGCAAGTGAGTCAGTAGAGCATCTAAAACTGCTACGTTCTCCATGACTAGGAAGCATCTGCTCAACAAACCAATAAAAATTGTGCAAAAAAAGGAGAAAAGCCTTGCAGGAGTCTAAAACATTCTCTAAAGGAATGGCTTCTTGTCGTAAACTAGGATACAAACTTCTGAGCAACCGCATAAAAAAACGATGGCCTAACAGCTGGTCGTGATTCTCCATACACACTGTAAACGGTATAAGAGAAAAGTCTTACCGAGCGTTCTTCGGGATTTATACGGACAGTGGTTTCTAAACCTTACTTAAGAGGTCTACAAAAAGTCTACAGATTGGCGGTCAGTACCAAAATTCAAACAGTGCCTGAGGTTTAAGTCATACCACAACTGCATCCCGATTAAGAATCATTCAATTTATATGCAATGATTAACATTCGGTATGAGGGATCTAGGAAGGTTCAACGACTGCAATTCACAGATGGAAAGTTCACCGACCTGCAATTCGTCGAAAGGAAAATTCACCGATTCTGAAGTTGATCGCCGATGATTTATTTATTAAAGCCATAAACCTGGAAAATTTATTTCATATAAAATATTGTCAAAAATTCATCTAAAAAATTCAAATGTGCTGATTTTGAATTAATTTGCCTGAAATGATTACAATGTAAGTAGCTGTAAATTTCGAATAAAACAGATTTCATTGAATAATTTAAATGAAAAAAACTTGAAACTACATTATTTACAAGCATACAGATACTGTTGCTACTGCAATGCCTAATCAGTAATTTATACTATGTGCCACGCGTCTCAACAACTCTAAAACATTATTTCTGTCATAATTCGTAACCACTCTGAAAAGCTTCAGCGCAATCTTTATACTTTTTATGCGCCGGGCTACATTGTTGGCCACTCACATATTGTTCTATCTGCAATGTTCTGATGTTCTGCTCACAATGAATCGTTTCAACAGACCTCCAGATATTAGGGTGTTATGCAAATGGTTGTATTTCGAATCCACGATGCCATCCTTCAGTTAAATTCCTTGTCTTTGGAAAACGGTCTTACTCCTTGGTGACAGTTCCACATTTCTAGGGAGAAGCGGGGCATTCGGCGTCTCATGCGTTGTTGAGGACGTCTAATCCAGCAGTCTTGAAAATAAACAATAACGCTTTGTCCTTTTTCAGACATGTTATAACTGCTACCGCTAAGACCTAATGCTTCTACCACATTTTCTGTTGGGACAAAAGCTAACATTAAAGGTTAACAGACAACAATCACATTTTCGTTACAAATTCGACGTCAGTTTCGTACCTCCTTTGAAGATTCTCTGCCTGAATCCATCAGAATATACACTGCGAGAAACGGAAGAAACATCCTCAATATCTAGCCCTTTCTTTACGAATAGCACTGACCATGGCAGGTTCGAACGTACGTAAGAAACGAAACGTACGAAATTCTTTACGAATAGCACTGACCATGGCAGGTTCGAAATCAGTCATAATTGTTTCTGGGGAGGCATCAGGTTGAAGCTGTTATACTTGTTGAAATAATCCAACATATGTGGCCTCTGTCTTGTCTGATAATAGAGCATCCAAAAGCGCAACTGAACTGTTCACCTGAATACCATGTAGTCTTTAGGGTTGGTAAAACAAATGAGGCACTGTTTTAAAAATTCCTTCCCCAAACCAATGTTCAGATGAGGCCAGTAACCGGAGATTTCTTTTGGTGGAAAATATAAGAATTCCATTTTCCGTCCGTCCTGAATCAAACAGCAAGAACGGTCACCTTTAAATACCTTGTACTCCTCGGGAAATACAATTTTCTCTCGGGTCATAAGCACAGCTAGTGCTGCTTGTTTCCTTGTTCTGATGTTTCGGATCGTTCTTTGCATAGCGTCGGTCTTCGCAACATGTCCTGCAGCAACTTGGCTAAGCTCTGCAGACGCATTAGATAAAACATTGGGGTGTTATTACAATTATAATACATTGGGGTGCTTCTTGGCTATTTATTGCACGATCACGTACAATATTTTTCTTCTTCAAAGCTTCTCTATGAGCAGCATCCCTAATGCGGTTGTGAACACATCGTTGGTTCCCTTCACGGTCTCAATAGCATCTCCAACCGTTATTTCACGAACCCGGCACTTGTGCTTCTGACACATCTCACACTTCCAATATATGTTGTCAAGCTTGTTTTTCTTTGAAAAATAAGTGACCGTCCACTTAAAGTTTCTTTTTTCTCTTTTCACTCGTGACGAACTGAAGGGCCATGACGGTTAATGAAAATTCGTAACTGAACTATCACACTCGAAGAACTTTTTGAAACTGGCCTCTCTGAATTCTCTGAGGCTTTATGTAGGGATGAAGCATGATAATTATTGTGGTCATTAATGAATTTTTCAAATACGGTATTTCCAAATAAATGCATTAGATAAAGTTACTTTTGTGTGAGTAGGTAATATTATGGTAATTATTCTGCTCATTAACATAATCTTTCAAATATGTTATTTCTGAATAATACTGTTTTATGATCATCATAAATAAATCACCGGCGATCAGTTGTAAAATCGGTGAACTTTCCTTTCGACGAATCGTGGGTCAGTGAATTTTCCGGTCGGTGAATTTTCGAGTCGGTGAACTTTCCGTCGGTGAATTGCAGTCAGTTAACTTTCCGGATACCCCGTATGAAGTGGTTATCCAACACTGTATGGTCAATCAATGCAGGCTAATCAAGCAGAAAAGAATTTTTATATACACATACGAAATCTGGTCCAAGAGTTGCGATATTTGACATATTGATGCTTACGAAAATATTTTGATGTTTATGCGACATTAACCCCTGAAACATTGTTTGTTATGAACACGAGGTGGCTCTAGCGAACAAAATTATGCGAGATGCATTCCACGTTGCAGGTGACCAAACGCCATAAAGCCAAGGCTAACTTCAGTCCCTCCCCCGAGCATCTAGGAAGAAGGGAGCAATACGATCTGAAATCTGATCATGGACGAACCATTCATTATTTAACTTCATATCAAAGTCAAAAATTAATGAATTTTTAGAAGAAAGCGATACATTTTTCACTTCATCGGAGTCTTCGCCTAAATGAAGCAGCATTGGGACCAAACTGCTGTGCACCTGATCTTCGAAGTCTGATTCAGAACCGAAACGTATCAGGTTGCCAAATAACGTGAAGGCGACGGACCTGAGGGCAGCACTATCCTGAAATCAAAAACTGTAAGCGATCAACTTCACTGGAGCAATATGAAGATCGTTTTCCAAATCAATGGAAAAAATCAAAAGAAATACTTTTAAAACAAACGCTTACGCTTTGACTACATCAACCCGCCTTTTCCAGCCCAAAGTCTGGATGAGAAATGAGGAGAGTAATGTAAAACAAAGCCAGCAGTCATTCATAGCATTGCCGTTATCACACGTTATACCGTCGAGATCGTCAGCCAGGATACCAAGGGTCGCACAGGCTGCTAAGAAACTGAGACAGAATGTTCAGAAACTGAATTCGACGATAAGAAATTGTTCACGCCTTTTGGCATGCAAGGGGCGTAGCAGCATCACGATGGTTACCCAAGAAAAACACGAGAATCATGAAAGTAACAGTCAGCAACGGAGACCTAGCGGTTTTAAACAGACAAAACAGGCGTTGCAAAAGATTCTGTGGGAACGATAACGACAGCAGGAGTTAAGTGAAGTCGGAAATTAGAACATTTTCGAACTCAGAGGCAAAGAGCAGTAAATCAGGTATCTGAAATTTCGTCAACGGCTATAGAATTCTGAACCTATGTTAGAGGAAGCGCTTCTACTCAGGTGTCGACTATACGACCTGCTATCAAGTCAGTGCTGGTGCTCAAGTATAACCCAATCTGGAGGACATATTCACTTAACAGAAGCCATTCAGCAGAGGTTGCAATCTCAGACTGAAGTTACAACAGGTCAAAGTTTTTACTTTATTAAATGTTTAAGCACCGAATTATAAGGGAGAAAATGAGTCATTCCTGGAGAAAGAACGACCTTAGCGACCCCAACAATAACGGGATGCAGTTGTTGCGGTTTTGTGCAAACAATGGACTGTCCATTATGAACACCTTCCTCGAACATCGGTGTGCATCAGAGCACCTGGTACAGGGAAGCGTCTGCACAGAAGTCTATGATCAATTTGATAACACTATCATCTGATATACGACGCTTTGCAATGGATGATCACGTTAAGAGAGGTCCTGAGTAGTACACCGGTCACCACCTTGTTGTTGACACTTGACGTTGTGAGAAATGGAGTAGTATGTGACAACCTGGTGGCAGAAGCAACCAAAGAATTAAATGGAAAACGTTATCGACAGATATGAGAGTGAAAGTCGCAAAAAATATGGTATGACGGTTAGAACAGATCCTGGTAATGACCGCTGAAGTAGAAACCGAGTGAAAGCTCCTAAAGAGTGTGACTGCGACCGAATGTGCAGGATTCAAACGCTTGGCTTGCCGCCTGGAAGTCAGAAAAGAACTTCCTGGTGGGCACGAGAGGTGCAACTAGTAGTCATTGAGAAGGCCGCATTTAAGGTGTCTTGGAACCAATGAGCCTTCAAATCGAATGTGGCAAGTAGAAAGCACAAAACGGCAGGGAAAGCAGTGTTCAAAGCGAAACCCGGCTCCTGGTAAAAATTCGGTGAGGTGTTGAAGTGAAATTTTCAGACGACGAACAAGGTATTACGGCAGACCATCCACAGCTGCTGAAGTGTAAAAGAGGGCAATCAAAGACGCCAGAAGTACAACTCCGGATGCCTTCGTATTGGCATGCCTTCGAATATGTAGGATAAATGACCAGTTGTTACGGCCATCCAATCTCCATACTCTGAAAGCCAGTGATGCGTCAGAGTCAGTGGCGTTAAGTCAAAGCCTTGTAGCGTTGGCACTGGTCTCCGCCAAGGCTGCGTCCTGTCCCTTCTCCTATTTGTGTTGTACATGGATAAAATAGTCAGGAGCAGCCAAGGCGATGAGTGTATCGGTGTAGGAGATGTGAAGACGAGAACAGTGTTGTTTGCAGGTGATCTTGTTGTGTTGGCATCTTCTAAAACGGATGCACAGTGCTTCCTGGAAAAGTTCGCAGCCGGGTGCGACATGTCTGGCATGTGTGTGAACGCATCTAAAACGAAAAGCCTAGTGTTTTCTCATTCTCCTGTCCTTGCTCTCTTCGGATTAACGGAGAGGCAGTGGAGCAGGTGGAAAAGTTCAAGTACATCGGAGTTCTATTTAGTAGTGACGGAATATGGGAAGAGATCGCTGGGTAGACTGGAGTTGCCAGTGACGTTCTGTGTGAATTTGCCTGAAGGGTTTTAACTGAATTTGAGCTAAGTGTGAAGATTAAGTTCTCGGAGATCAAGTCGATCTTCATCCCCATGCTCAACTGCGGCAATGGATTGTAGACCGTTACTGAAAACTTCGATCCCGGGTACAGGCAGCTGAAATGAGCTTAATAAGACGAGTCGTTGGCCTTACGTGTCTCCACATGGTTCAGAGTACAGAAATCCGCGAGAGCCTTGGTGTATAGATACTGGTTCTGGAGAATGAGAAGTCTTGCGATGGCTTGGGCACATGTTGCGGATGTCTTTAGAAAGGGGAAGGAACTCATGCTTGCCCAGCCGAGGGGCAGAAGGCCCATGGGACAGCCAAGGTTAATGCGACGCATAAATATGAAAGGAGTCTGTTGTAGACTCCGGCTGCCTTCTACCGAAGCTCTGACACAGAATCGGGAACGTTGAAACATTGTCTGACGCGTCCGTGTCCGCGACTCGAAAAAAGAAGCGGTCATGGAAAATGAAAATGTTTGAGTATTTGTGATATCCCAAAAGACAAGATAAGTGATTTTAAATTTTTACAGAATTTTCACTTGAAACGGGCTAGATGGAAGGGCATCATGTTCAACACGTGCTACGTTAGCGTAAACTAATTTTAGAAATTTTGGTTTCGAATCAATAACAGCAAAGTTAAGACAGTGACTGGTCGTAAGTGCACTGCTACTGAAAACCAGTGGTTGCTACATTTCCGGAACAACCGCCGGCAGTAAGCTGATCCAATGAAGCAATTGTTACGTAAAACAGAGATACATAATTGACGAGAACTAACTGCAAACCTTTTCAAAACATGGTCGAATCCGTAAAATAATGCTTATCAGAAGAGGTTGCAACTGGTCAATAGAACAACGAGCAGCAAGTCTACTCAAACCCTGCATGGCTTCAAAGGCAATTTCATCTAAAAAAAGTTTGTGAATACAGAATATGAAAGGACCAAACTTGCTAAACGGAATGAAAGGACTTCAGCATAGCTGAAATAAGCAATATACGTACAAGCAATTCGCTACACAAATGTACACGTGCAAGAAGTGCGAAGTGACGTATGAAAGATTAAAAGATGACAGCGATGCTGTGGATAAGAAAATATAAAACTTATCATTTTATTCAAGGATAAATGAAATATTACTGTCATAAAGTTGTGAGACCGCATGCATGTTGATCTTTCAACCATTTAAATACTTCATTTCTTAGTACAGTTCTTTCAAGAAAATATAGAGGCGTGACGTGCCTTACGAATCACCTCACAATCGCTAATCATCGAAAAGAGGTACGGTGAATTCATTACTAAATTCATGTAGCTCCTATTTAGCCTGAAATAAATTTAGCGTTGAAACTGATCTGCGGTCTAAAAATGATTTACATGGAAATAAAAAACAAACCGGCCGTTCGTTGTGACTATTTTAAGTAGAAATAGAGCAAAAGAATTAAATAAATGCAATACGGCGATCTACCACTGAACTTAATTTGGTGCCGTCAAACAATAAAACACGTCTGACGCAATATTAACCATATCTGTCTATCACCCGGGGTAAAGGAATTACTTCATTTGGATTACATGTGCTTTGCTGGCTTCGAAAAGAGAATGACCAGATCTCGCACAACAAGCAGTAGGCGTGCCTGCAGACGTACGGGATCGGTGGACAGTTGTTACAATTCTTTCAGTCACTACATGTGAATAGCAGGTGCTGCGACAGAGTACATGGAGTTAAATCGGGACCTTCAATATAAATACTGTTGCCCCAGTTCTTATTTGTGCTGCAACAGACAAGATCATTAGACGCAACCAGGGAAACGAGTATATTAGCATGAGATATGAAGACGTGCACTTTTGGCATATTTTGAAATTGATCTCCAGCGTTCCTTGGAAAGGTTCGCAGCCGAGTTCCGCGTGGTCAGCATGCATGTGAACGCATATAAAACGAAAAGCCTAGTGCTTTGTCGTTTTCCCGCCTGCGGCTCTCCAGATAAAAGGAGAAGCAGTAGAGCAAATGGAAAAGTTCAAGTACCTTGGAGGCGTGTTTACTGGTGATGGAAAATGGAAGAAGGAGATCGACCGGCGAATTGGAAGCGCCAAAGGCGATCGAAGTAAACTAGACCGAACAGCTGACTAATTCAGAGTTGAAGACTTAGCTATCTGTGTGCAGGTTGATCTTCATCGGGAAGCTGCTCACCTATTGTCATAAGTCGTAGGTCATCACTGAAAAACATCGATCCGGCGTACATGTGAATGAAATGAGCGCTTTGAGACGAAAAGATGGGCTCACGCATCTCGACTTGGAATGGAGTACAGGTGTTAGAGAGCCTTGGTGTACAACCGCTGGTTCTCCAAACTGAGAAGTCACAGCGTCGACTGTTTGGGCATATCTTGCGAATGCTTCCAACAAGAAAGGCGAAACACCTACTACTTGTCCAATCGACCGACTGAATACCCGGAGACGGCCAAGAATGATCTGGGACAAGCGCCTTGACATACCCTGCTCCAGACTCAGGTTATCTTCTGTCGAAGCTCAAACACTGGCACAGAATCGGTAACGTTGAAAACACTGCCTGACGTCTGTGCTTTCGAGAGCCGAAAGGATTAGCAGTGATTCAGCTGTCATTGGAACTGGCTGACTGATCGGTCCTTCATGGAAATGAACACAGGAGAAAGTTCGCGTCAAGGCGAAAATAAACCGCCTTTTAGACGCCAGAAAAATCCAGCAATTTATGTGATCGTGCTATAGCTAGTAGAAAGGCTCTAAACCGATCTAAAGAGCTGCCACAGAAAATGTAAAACAATGTTCATTATGACTAATAGTGAATGAACCCTTGTGATCAGCCGAATCGTCCAGTCCGGACTTCATCGCCAATAAAGCCGTCGTTGAATGCTGATTGAAGAGTGGGTCTTCGCAGTGAGCAATGTTAGCGATGCCTCGAACCGCCACCTAAAAGTCAATCAGAACCATGAGAATGGTTCCATCACACACCTTGCGAACGACGAGCACTTTGTCGGTCAGGCCAGAGAGCAACGAACCGATCACATCTTCGGCGAAGGAAAGAGTCCGTGTCTGACAACACTTGACAAACGCGGAGAAAACAGCCATTACCACCACTCTGCAGGTTGATTCAGTCGACAGTCTGCGCTCGTACAAAATATCCTTGATCGAATCAAGATAAGCGCCACTGTTGGTGACCACCTTGGATAAATCTGACACCTGAAATTTCATGCTGGATCGTAGAGCAAACGAAATATAGTAAAACACATTCGAAATTAATCCTTTATAATGGATGAATTAAGAGACAGAAATACTCCCTCGTCATCACAGAAAACTTTGTGAAAAGTAATCAAAAATCCACTAAAGTAAACACTAAAGAATATATCAAACAACAAAACACTATAACACTGAAATCTTACTCTGATTTAAGTGCACACTATGCCATTTTAATTGGAGGTTTCGGGCAGTCCGATATTGTAAGGGTGTACGGTTAACACATCTTCTGTCCGTGATTAATACGACCTTGAGACAATGCGTAGAGCAGCATGGGTGTCTCTCCCCAATGATCATCATACGCATGATATTGGTTGTGCATAACGACCACAAAGATGCGATCTTTTAGATCTACGACACTGCCAACCGCAAGATGGTAGAGCCTGCAGCAAAATCATCGACGACGAAAGTACGGAAAATCATTTTGGGAGACATAACTAAACCAGTGGAATAATCGAATTCCGCGGTTTGATATTATGGAGTTCTACAGTACCGATTTAGAGCATAAACAACCACGAGAAAAAGTCTAAGAGCAGAAAATCTTTGAAAGTTAAATTTACTCAAATCCCTCCTTTTTAAACGTCAGCAGCATTTTCGCAAAATACTGAAAAATTTATTTTACTTGAGAAACTAAGTGTAGGGATAGACAGGTGGAATCCAATTATATCCATACCAGCAGGAGTGGAAAAAATTTCGTCATATCGAAAGACCACTGCTGCAATATTTAAATAACCATTTATCCGAAAATATCAACTAAAAACGATACATGCAAATGACAAAATTCAATTTATGCCGTATCTGGGACAAATTAATTCGTTCCATATGCAGAAACACGAAAGCGTGCAGTCACTGGAATGCCGGTCTTTCTTACGTTTTCATGATGCGCCTTTCGCTACTAAGACTGATGTGAAAAATGAGCTCTGTTTCTATATCATCAATCAGGACTGCTTTATTTTAAAGGCAGCGTATAGTCATTTGGCAAGCCTAGCGAATAGTTTCATGGGTTCTTTCACACAGAGTTGTACCATATATACGCTGAAGGCTGAACGATTATCATGGCCAGCGGCTATTTTTCAAATGCAGATGACGGCGAATAGCTTACAACTAGAGCAAACTGACTCGTAAACTGGTTCTACTCTGACTGAAATTTATGTTGGGCACAATGAGACTTCCGGAAACTTGGTTGAATAGTTGAAGTAATCAGAAATACTGTACCAACAAGAAGCTGAACGGACTGAAGCGTTTACTAAAGTCGACTGAAGGATTCAAGTTGTTGTATTATAAAACAAAACTGTCAGTGATTATCTGAAAAGACCTAAAATTCAATGAAAGGGGCTCTAAAAGAACAGGATACTTATGAATTATGTTCAGAACGTGCAGGACTAAAATGAAGATTATTTCAAAACATAATGAAGACTGAATATTTCGTTGGCGGTTATAAAAAACAGCGTAAAACAGCTTAATAATACACAACGCAAAAGATAATGGTCAGTCACGGGACTTTGCGCTGTGTATAATTAAACCGCTGCTCACACTCATTTTCATCATGAGAGCTTGTAATATCTTAGCGACTTCGGTAAAAGAACTATATTATGGACGAGACCCAAATGCTATGGGTAACGTCGGAAAGCGGACAGAAATAAACATCATTCATACTCCAGAGATCACAAAAACGGATACAAATAAGCCTAAGTGTGCATTACATCTAGAGTTTGAACTGAATATATCAGAATAAAGCACTGTACAAATGACTGATTTTCGATGAAGCTCATCACTTAGATTATACTTCGCTATGATTTTGCTTTAATTATCAGTGAGTTTCTGACTGCGCTCAAAAAAAAACCTCAGCGCTTAACGACGTACGTCAACACTGACCCTGCACGCAATAGTGCGTACATTTAAAGCATAAAAGTACCGAATCGTAGTAGTGCAATGTATCTTCGATGTCGCGTCGAAAATTCAGTGTGTCTGTCAAAGCGGCGGCATCGTCCAAATGACATCTGATCAGAAGCGTGCGAAGAGCATGAACAACAACAGATATGGGCTTATTCTGAAGGAAGTATTCAGAAGAGACTTCTGCTGAATTCACGAATACACTGCCAACAAGTCGACCGCACTGAAGCAAAAGAGTAGTATAGAGTTCAGGAAAAAAGCGCCTGAGAATCTCTTCGTTTTCAGCACCCTAAAATATAGTACATTAGCTTTACAGAGAATTACTGCAGGAATGCTCTTGCTTTACAAGAAAACAAAAGCAATGGTGTGACTCAGATGAACAAGAAACTACGCTGCCGCAACCTCTGCAAAACGTTTCGATGATACTGCTGGCATACAAGCATAAATCTACAGACGCGTGCAATACGCGCTGATTAGCAGAAACCAGTGCCGTGAAAAACTAAGAAACTGTGCCGTAAAACGGAAGTTTAACAAATGCAGCCAAGGAACTATTAACTAGCAGTGGATAAATGATGCAGTAAAGTTTCGTTAGCTCTACCAATTACAACTTCAAGATCAAATATACAACAGTACCAAGGGTTCATATTTATGTAACACAAATTTCAAGTTATAATTGTTTCACGCAGTATTTCATGTAAACATGTGCATCAGATAATCAAAAACGTATTGGCTCTGGGGCGTCACCAACAAGGAAAGAGCGGGACTTCACTGCAAATTATGACAACTGCTGCGTGGGTCAACAAGGCCGGTGCTGCATGGTATGGCGAAGATTACTAACCAATTATATCCATTACGGTAGCAACGTCAATAGAAATATTAAAACGGGACTAAGCGCGCTGAGCGGCACACGCCCCTGTTTCAAGTTCGACAATGTATTGAATCCTCCTAACAGAGTAGTGAAACTGCGTGTGTATACTGGAGGCGGAGCACAGATCATACCGAATGATATTCAAAAAGCAAGAAACGCTTACACTTCTCAAGTATAAATTGAAGCTTAAAGTGTAAATCAATCCATTATGTAAAATCTGATCACAGGCTCAAATAAACTGCAATCAAGTAGCCTGAACCCCCTGTACATATTTCAGAGCAACCTTAAAGCCACAATCGCCACATTCGATTTAGCAACTAAAACCAGGCTGATTTACGCGATGACGGTAATAAGGAATTGCGAAGAACGGGAAGGGGCCAGAAAATAAACTTATACAACATTAAACTTTAAACCTAAAACTATGATTCTCTACCTATGTGATATTTAATAATGGACATATCCTGAGTAACATTAAACATGGACAGTACCATGAACAAATTATGCAAGTTGTATGAAAATTAAAGATAGGCACAACAGTAAAGGACAAATGAAACAGAGAAGATATGAAAACCAGTAGGATAAAACCCAAGTCAAAGTGCATATTGCGGCTTTCGTTAATGGAGGAGATCAGTTTGCAATAATAAACATGTCTAGAAAAACTGCATGCATTCAGCACCATTCAAACCTAATTCTTAGACATGGACGCTAACACAATCGGTCTATTATCACGAGAATCAGCAATGCATAAAGTCTATGCTACTAATTAACGAAATAATACCAGATTTCACTGCGTACTGCACCACTCTTTGTTCTTAACTGCTTGGAAGTGGGGGTAAAAAGGCCAGAGTTCCATCACCTGCAGTGCAGGAAGCAACTCTTCACATAAAATACCGTGAAGTCATGGCTGGCTTCTGATGTTAATGCGGTAACTACTAACTGCGCTAATGACAAAATTACAAAATTACATACATAGTTCCGTTATTCTTTTGTTTGTTTTCTTGCCCTCTACTGTTGTACTATTAAAGTGTCCTCCGTATTCTGACTTGCATACAACCTGCAGATTCTTTTGACCGTACTGGCAGTGTTTTTTAACTACTGTCACGATCATAAAGTAATATCGTACTAGGGTTCAAAAACTTCGTGACGAATAAACAGCTCATTGTAGGCCAAAATCAGACAAATAAGCCTTTGACCGTTAACGTATTCTACAAGGTATCAATGCACATAGTCAACAACCATTGCTTGCCTTCATAACTTCAATTAGTGCAGAAGTTGAAGCTAATGGCAGCACTACAGCAGCGTCTATTCGACCACCATCTTTCTTTTCCGTTTGATGGCTAGATGCAGACAGTTCCAACAAGTGCTCTAGCATCGCAGAAAACGTTTTGCTGTCGCGTGCCAGCGCTTGCCAACAGTCGCACACGGACCTAAACATAAATTGTCAATTAAGAAAAAACACTCACCTGACAAACTGAGTAAAAGGAATTTTTTGGCAAAGCAGTGACGTCATTATCACGTTCAGATGATTACGACTGATTTCAAAAAACGCCTGTAGAAGTTCTGCGTACGTTTCCAATGGAATGCTTTCCGTGAACTTCGACAAAAATGTCGTTATGATCGTTTCTACCTAAAAGCGCGAAAATCAAAAATTTCAACACTAACGCAGAGAATTGAAGAATGTGGGTACAAGCGAGTGCAGTAGAAAGAATTATAACTGCTTCTAAATAATCCTAAAGTTAAGTACACAACGACAAGTTCTTTAAGCACTTCAATATAGCAAAAGGAATTGAAATGTGCTAAGACAGAAAAAAGATAATTCATAACACTTGTTCACTGCATAAACAAACGATTCATCAGGCATTAAATCTTACTTCCGGTTCTAACTTGAAAATTTTTCCGCAACCAATCAACTGCTTTATACTTCTCTTAACTGCGATAAACCAATGAAACAATATTCGAGCATAACATAGAAAACGTAGCTCGCATAGTGCGGCTTAACAAATTAAACTTATTCTCCCTCCAACAAATTGTCATCATAAAATGGAAGATGAGATGGTTTTTTGCTGACTGGAAATTTTCCATACCATTTTATTTTAGGGAATACAGATTCAAGACACGTGTTAAATAGCATGGGCGACACGGTCTCTTCCTGATGAATACCTTTCGAACTCTGATATGAGTGAATCTTCAACTACATGAATCTTCATGTTGCAGTCCGTCCATACGTCTTGAAGAACCCGGATAGACACTCTCTCAACTGTGGCGTGTTCGCACAGTATTTAAGAGGCCAGCTTCGAACTCCGGAGGTACAGGGTTAGATTTAGCTCGAGGGTAATCTTTGTCTTATTCAGGAATTCCCCTGAGCAAGGAATTTACCACATACTGCTTCAGATCAGGGTTGTTCAGTTTGTAGAGCGTCAAACTCATAACCGATAGATCTTGAGTTCAAGCCCCGGCGTTGTTCTTCGCCCTTCTTCTTTCAAAGGTTAATCAGTGAGTGCCACTCTGTGGGAAAGAAGCAGGAAACTACACGTTATGCTTGTTACATGGCTGTAGACTCTGCCTTCACAATAAGAGGCACCTGTCTGACGGCAGAGAAACGGAGATAATCACCGCACTATATACTCCATGAAAAGAACGGCGCCGAAATGGTCCAGTCATGAAACTGAAGGAAAATTGGCATTGCAAAGGTAATAAACTGTCATTTATTCCTTCCTTTTCAACTAGCTATTTTTTAAATGATTGGAAAACTACGCGACGCTCTTTTACATCACATGCTATTTCGTATCCTACGAAAATCAGATAAACAGGAAATTTACACTTACGACACTTTCCTCACAGTTCATTCGATGGCTGAATATTACTACTTATGGGACGATTTCAACTAAAACTGAACTGGACAGTGTGCAGTAGCTC